GCTATATCTCTATTAGAAGTGATAGAGTTTCAAGTCGCAAAGGGGGAGGTATAATATTATACGTTAGGGATCACTTTCGTATACAAGCAACTATATCGTAGGCTCATATCAGTAGTACATGTGAGGTTGCATGTTGTAAGATTTAATCTAGAAATGGGTTGGTGACTATAGGGGGAATATACCGTAGTCCGTTTTGTCTTGCTGACGACTTTATCCTAAGACACATCTGTTCTTGGAGTATGGCAGGATGTTGTCTCATCATTGGGGACTTCAAGGCACCGCATATCAAATGGATAGAGCTTACAGCTCCAGATAGTGGTTTTGTTAGCGACTTTTATCTACCGTTATTCAGTGTGCACTTGTACAATCTATCACAAAACCGACACATATTGATTTCAATCATGATACGTCACTGCTGGACCACGCCCTCACCCACCACTGTGAGGATATCTTTGATATCCAGCACCTTCCCCCACTAGTGAGCAGTGATCACGTTGTAATTCACTTTAAGTTTAGGAGACATGGTATACGATTTGTATCTATTCCACCCCGTCCCAATATCTGGAGAGCTAATATTCCGGAAATCAGAAACTGCACTATCTCGACTGATTGGTCGGTCGACGCGGATGGATTGATCGAAGATGAATGGAATAAGTTTAAGGCCACATTCGAGTCCGTAACGTCGCCGTTTATCCCATGGTCAGCACGTAAGCTATCACATTGCCCTCCATGGATTAATAAGGAAACCCGGAAGCTGTTAAAACGTAGGAAACATATCTGGGACTTATTCTTGTTGACAGGCCATGCACTATTTAAGCGTCAGTACTGAAAATTCCGCAATATCTGTAAGAAAACCAAAGCAAAATCCCGTACCACTTACGAACGACAGTTAGTATATGATAGCCGTTTTTATCCGAAACGATTGTTTTCGTATGTTAAACGGTGAATGAAACGTAGTGATGGTATTCCCTCGTTACTGTTACACGAAAATTCAGAATTACTAGCTGAATCAGATCGAGCAAAAGCTGAGACTTTTTCAAACTATTTTAGTGAAGTCTTCTCTACGTTCATTGTAACAAATATTTGTCCCACTCACACCGAGATACCAACCATTGAATCTGTACAGGTAACTGACGAAACTGTCCTTCCATTGATAACTAACCTCAAACCTGGTAAGATACCGGGCCCTGACGGGCTACATCCACGGTTGCTGTCATCTCTTGCGAACATTATATCAAAACCGCTCGCGACGCTATTCAACATATCCCTTTCACTCGCTCACCTCTCTAGAGATTGAAAGGACGCTATAGCCAATCTTATATTTAAGGACGGTCAGAGACAGATAGTATCTAACTACCGGCCTGTCAGTCTAACTAGCATAGTCGTTAAGTTACTTGAAAAGATAATTCGGGTTAGGTTGCTAAGCCACATAGATTTACACAATCTGTTAGCTCCTGAGCAACACGGATTTTGTAACAAGCGTTCATGCTTGACTAACTTGCTTATTGCGAGGGAGGATTGGACAGCAGCCCTAGATAACAGTCTGTCTGTTGACATGATATTCATAGATTTTAGCAAAGCATTTGACAAGGTTTCACACGTAGGTCATTTGCAGAAGCTGACGAGCTTCGGAATAATAGGTACTGTACGTGAGTGGATAGGAAATTTCTTATGTGACCGCAGACAGAGAGTGAGGGCCAACGGAACGCTATCCGATTGGAAGCCGGTCAAAAGTGGTGTACCCCAAGGCACCATCTTAGGCTCTCTGCTCTTCCTTCGCTACGTTAATAAGTTACCACTGTTACTTAGGTGGTCGACATTATTGTTTGCGGATGATGTAAAAATCTAGAGAACAATAAAATGTGCGGCTGATCATCTGGATCTTCAAGCTGACTTAGACGATTTAGTTAGATGGGCTTGAGAGTGGGGCTTAGAAATCAATGCCAGGAAGAGTGTGCTAATGCACATCGGTCACGGTAATAGTTACCGTTACACTATTGAAGGTAAACCTATTCCATGCGTTCAAGAGCATAAAGACTTAGGAGTAGTATTAAGTCATGATTTAAAAACGACTACGCGTTGCAAAGCAGCCACTGTCAAAGGTTTTTGTGCGTTATGGTCACTTCGCCGACCGTTCAAATTTTTTGACGAGGAAACGTTTCGAATTTTATATCCCACCTACATAAGACCACATTTAGAGTACTGTATCCAAGCAGCTAGCCCGTGTCTGGTAAAGGATACTAACTCCCTTGAGTGTGTCCAGCGTGTGGGAACGAAATTAGTGAAAGGTCCTTCTAGACTTCCTTACGGTGAGCGTTTAAAACGCCTAAATCTTTTCCCCTTGTCGTATCGTAGGACACGATGTGACCTTATACTGGCATTTCGTATCTTTAATTATGATTTGGATGTTAATATGTCTTATCTTTTTGCTCCCTCCAGCACTAATGATCTTCAAGGTCATAGCAAGAAGGTTCGCAAACCGCGATCTAATAAACTCAAGGTGAGGTCCGGTTTTTCTCATCGAGTAGTCAATCATTGGAACGCCTTACCCGAACAAGTGGTATCAGCCCCATCAGTGAATACTTTCAAGGAGAAGCTGGACCTTCACAGAAAAGCAATGTGTCAGGATTAATACAAGTTCACCAACCTACTATCCTTATTACTGAAGACTGACTGAAGATATATTAGGTGTTACTGGTTAAAGCGTTGTCAACCTCCGAATATCTGTGGCATCTTCAGTTCCTGAGAACTGTTACGCAAAGCAGTGATGTCCGCATCTTTAATTGATTCATTCAAAGGAAGACTGGACTCCTACAGAAGTTAACAGTGAATCCAACGCGCTAATTTCAAAAACGGCAGTGATTTTTGTACTTGTTGTGATTATACTTGCTTTTGGTACTTATTGCACTAAAAAGCATTCTTGGTCTACTTTAACTAAGAGTTCTTTTTGTTAAAGTTTGAAAGTTTTTGCTACATTTTGTCCTGGGTACCTGTTTTTAGTGCTTGACTAAGACTTGTGTTCACATTGTTATCGCTTTTTGTTTTTAAACCTTTTAAATCGAATTACAATGGTTGGTAAGACTCACAAATGTGAGCAACCAAATTGTTTGTTCTCCGTTGAGGAGGGAATGCAGTGTGACGACTGTAAAAAGTGGTATCACAAAATATGTACACGACTAAGTCCGACGGCTTACAAAAGATGCTCGAAGCCTAACTCGCATTGGCTTTGTGTGTTCTGCCGTACGGATAAAAAGGTACTAATACAGGAGGCTATGGGCCTATTGGCTTTGGCCTGCAAGAAAAACGATGGCGGAAGCACTGATAACAGGAGTACTGACGATGAAGAATGTGTCAGTGTAGTGAGTGCTGCTACTGGACCCATTAAACACCTGACTGCGGTTGACGGGAACGTGAAATCTCCGTTGACATTAACGAGAAATGAAGTGTCGCCTGATATTGACATCGGCAGTCATACACCTCTAGTCGAAATAGAAGATCCGGATAAAACTGTCACCGTTCCACATAGTCCAGGTGTGACTGTTCTGAGTGGTGACAAATGGACTCCGGTAAGAAGAAAAAAATAAGAAGAAAAAGGCTGTAGGCAAAACGCAGCTGGTCAGCAAGACATTGGAAGGGACTTTATCAGAAGAAAAATCCTCACCGCGTGAAAAGACAGATCTCTCTGAGAGATCAGTCATTTTTCATAAGATAAGAGAATCTTCAGACACTGAACCAAAGGCAAGATTTGAACATGATCTCAATCATATTAAGACATCGTTAAGTAAACTACTCCCAGATACAGTTTCAGGAGTTAGTATTTGTAAGCTTTATAGAATAGGAAAAAAGGTGGATTCCGAAAGTCCTCAGAAAAACCGCCTCCTAAAGGTTACATTCAACACGGTGGAAGAAAGGAACCTGGTTCTAAGTAATTCACGTAAACTGATTGGATCCGGTATATATGTCCGTGAGGACCTCAGCCTAGCTGATCGTATTAAGAGAAGGGCTGCAGAAGCGGAAATAAACGAGCGTCGCCGAAACGGTGAAAGAAACCTCGTTCTTAAGGGTTTTCAGATTGTAAATGTTCGGAGCAAAACGATCCCCAAGCCACTCTGGGTGGCAAGGGAAAGCTCTCCACAGACTTAAAAGTGTGCTACACAAATGCTCGCAGCCTACTAAATAAAATGGCGGAGCTGAAGTCAGTGGTGGATAAAGAAAAACCGGGCGTTATCGCTGTCTCGGAAACTTGGTTAACGTCAGAAGTATTAGATAGTGAAATCCAATTGACGGGTTTCATAACCAGTAGGGCTGATAGATTAAACCGAAGGGGAGGCAGGGTTATTGTGTACACGAAAAGTACCCTAACTATAAGATTAGCTGAGACAGTAGCACATGTTTCAGGGACGTGTGAACTCGTGAGATGTAAGTTGAAATGCAGAAGGCAAGATGAAAGGACATTCACTAAGCTTGATACTACCATGTTCACCACATTATACACGTCCTTAGTGAGAACTAAGTTAGAGAACTGTGTCCAGGCTGCAAGCCCCTGTTTAAAGGGTGACTCAGACATACTAGAAAAGGTACAGAGGGCAGCTACGCGTGCAATTCCGGAAGTCCGGGGTTTATCATATAAAGAGCGGCTTGAAAAACTGGACCTCTTTACTCTGTCCTATCGCAGACTAAGGGGAGATCTAATATTGATGTACAGAATAATAAAAAATGATTTGGGACCTAACTTATTCTCTCTCTTCCTTCCCACTAGATCGGGACACCTCAGAGGACATGGCACGCGAGTAGAAAAGCCAAGAACGAACAAAATACTCGTGGCATACAGGTTTTCACACCGAGTCATCAATACTTGGAACCTGCTGCCTGAAGCAGTGGTGTCCGCACCTTCAATTGACTCTTTCAAGAGAAGACTGGACACTCACAGAAGCATACTAGAAAAGGAATAACATAGGCCGTAGGCCTTCTGTCCTTACTACACAAATCTGAATCTGAATTCTGAAGGTTTCTTTCTAATAAGCTAATCTGAAGGCCACACATCATTTACCGAAGGTCGTCAGTATGTAACAATAATGAAAATAGTTAAATGTGACGTTATTAACGTGAGTCTGTCTTACTTAATGCAGTAAAGCAAATAGTAATTGTACTGTAAGGAGCCCTACGTAGTATGAGACTGCAGAGCTGTGGATGAAACTGTTTTGTAACAACAAAACTACAATGAAGTATCTGTGAGGAAATGACAAGTCCGGAGTGGATTATGTCGAATCAGGTACAATGCCCCAAGCAATCAACAAAAGAGAAATAATAGGGATCTTTCGTTAAAAATTGAGGGAAAACAGTGAGGCGAAGCGCCGAAATGTCTTCTTTTTCATCGGCTCCTCCTTTTCCCGTGTAGTCTGATTGGTTTTTAAGTTATGGCTTGATGATGATTTTCGGTGAATACAATAACGTAGTTATGACAAGTCTGGTATGGTTTAAATATAATCATGTACAGCAACCAAAGTAGGAAAAATAAAGAGAATACTCTGTTAGAAACTAAGGGGTAAACAATGGGGTGATGCGCTAAGACGTCTACTTTTCCATCGTCTCGTTAGATTTGTCTTTAGGTTATGGCTTGATGGTGATTTCCAGTAAATGCCATTTAGGCTTTTTCATCACTGATATTGTCGCTAACTCAGCTTTTCCAGTGCCGACTCATCTCACTTATCTACTGAATTAACTGGTCTGAATATTCAACTAGAAATATGTAACCAATTTATGACCTCTACTCAGGTTAATATTTTAAAGCGCTTACAAATTCTGATTGGGATATTTAGTGAAAGGCAGGTTTCCTATTTCATGAGATTTAAAGTGTGACTTCATGTCGTTGTGGTTAAACAGTCAGTGTCTGTTGATATATGTACGTTGTGTGTGGAGCGATAAGACAATGTGATTTAGTCATAAGCTTTAGTAAAAGAATATTTAAATTGTTTATAAGTTTGAGATACATTACACATATAAGGTATTATCAAGTTATAAAAATGAGTTGGTTGTGAAGAATTTCTTCACTGAATCACGTTTTTCTTGTGACCTAATCTGTGTGTTTAAATTAATATTGAGTCTACCGTAAAATGTCACATATCTGCATAAGATCAGTTCCAACTGTCTGCAGTCATTTATCAACGACCGATTATAGTGATGATTTGTAGAATGAGAAGGGATTTTGTCTCGACATATGCCTGCATGATAGATGAAATTCTCATGCTATATTTGGTACTCAAATGATAAAGAACATAACAGTTCTCCATGTACATGTGTTCCTCCTTTGAGGAATAATGTAGTGATGAATATTAGAAAGTAATTCACTAAATGAAGATTCACAACACTTATTTTAACCGAATTGTTGGTTGGACCAGTAATTAATATAGTTTAGGTAGTCACCATTCTTCGGTATCTTGTAACAAATCATTAGAAATTTTCCCGAACCTAATCAATCTAAGTACAGGAATATACACACCATTATAGTCTCGATCTCGAACTTCTTTTGTAGAACATGCTTGAGAAGACTGAGGATTTCGATCATTTGGCTAATGATTTAGAGCACATTCTGTCTGATAGTTTGCGACATGTAGATGGCGATTTCAAATATGAGTTGTCTTTCACTGCTTTATCCGATCTCGATACTCGATTCATGCTGATGCTCGACAAGAGTATGATGCCTCAGTCCAACACAGACCATTTCAGATCTGTTAAGAATGCCTGGGTGAAGTTTGCCGCAATGGCCTCTGCATACGTCTACAAAAGTGTTGGTGAATCGGTTTCCAAACCTCTTCAAAAATGGCTAGCGAATGCTGCCAGTGCTGCGATTCTCGCTGGACTACTTGCAGAAGTGTCTGAGTCATGCGATTCACATAAACGAACTAGTTCTGATGGAAAGACATCTGTCGAAAATATCTCCACACCTGACAGAGTAGTGGAGAATATTAAGGATGGTGCCTGGTACTATGGCCGATGGACCGTTGACAATGTTGCTAGCAGTTGTGAAATGGTGGATGTGATCGATGCTGAAATGACAGATGCATGTATTCGAGTGATGATTGCTGCTGTTGTTAATTATTTCCAGGAGAACAGATTCGCTCCATGTGGTTTGTTGAGAGACAGTTATGCAAGTGCGATACTGAGAAGTGATCTAATGGATAGGTATGAGTTAACAAACGAACATGATAAAATTGAAGCGATGCGTATTACTGGTAGTTGGGTCTCGAAACTGTATGTGTTTCACATGGCGACGAAGCATCGCTATTTGCAGCACCGACTCAGACCTATAAATAATGTTGGTTTGGTGCGTCCTCTGAAACTAGATTTCAGTCAGTGTTTCGAGGACTTGACAGCTAGATTTATCCGTACACGAATCGCACATCAGATTGCCAGTCGGATGGTGCGATCTGTGTGCATAGTGTTTTTCGAAGATTTGAATGAATTGATTGAGTTGCGGAAGCTGTACCGTCAAATATCCGGTGATCCATTTTATTATCACTCTGACTGTGAATATTTGACGAAATCATCTCGACCGTCAGTCAGTGACAAGATGAGTTGTATATTTGGTCGATTGGTCACCTATTTGAGTGTTTTTGAGCCGAATAGTGAACTGTTTGATTATCCGCATTTGAAGATGAATGGTAGAACTCGAGAACAACACTATGCTGATTACAGTAAGAATTGGAAGAAGATACTGGAGACGATTTATGCAGAGTTGTATATGCCGAGTGGAAGTCCTTTATTGGATGTTCTTAGAAGTAGATGCAAAATCTCAGCAAGGATTCCACAAACTGAAAACAGTTTGAGAGAATGTTTTTATGAATATGATGTCCGTTTTAATATTAGGGAGTTTATTTCCCGATATTCACTTAATCGTTAAATATTTTGTTTGTTCATTGACAACTCAAGATTAAAATGTTGTTATTAACAAATTGCAATATTATTCTTCTTATTCATAAAATTTGCTTTTTCATCAGTGATGTTGCTTTATGTGTTCACTGTGGTTTTGTTAACATATAGGTAATTGTTACAAGCACTTTCCATATAAGTGAACTAAAATTCAGATGATTTTAGTATTATCGATCAGAGTTTCTGAAAACCGAATTATTAGTAAACTTATTGTTACTTTACATCTGTCATTACATTGTATTGTTTGCGTTGATTTATCCATACTGTTATGTAAGTGTAATTGTGCACAAAGTAAATATTCGATAACTTTTCATGCATTAGTATTTCGTAAGATTCTCATAAATATTACACCACATTCAAGTTGCTTAAATCAATTGACTGAGTCACTGGTACAGTGTATGGCATAACAAACCAAATCAATCATGAGGTTTAAACAAATAATTAGTCACTAATGTGATGTGGTTAGTGGAATGATAAAAGCAAGACTAATCTAAGTTCAGTAGGGTATATATTTTCAGTATCCTTTTTTATTAATTTGATTCTTACCGAAGCTGATGTGTAAATCTAACTAACTTGATATACTTACAACCTATTACTCAGTAATAGGTGTATTTACCCGAATGCGTAACCATCTTAGCTGCCATTTGCATATACTGGTATAACCGGAGAGAGAGATAGAGAGTTAAGCATATTTCTCACAATGACAAGCTTATTTTCAGTAATAAATTCCAAAACGGACCTATTGAAATTGTAAATAGATAGGTATGAAGTAGTTTTATAAGTCCTAAATACTCAGGTATCTCGGGCTCTATGCTGCCGATCGTCGGTTTATCGTTGAAAGTCATCGTCAGATAGTTTGTCAATAATTATAATCTACTTCGTGAATTTACGAAGTTTATTATTTGTTAACTAACTACCGTTGCCCCTCGTGGAGCTTAGACCGAAGACCAGGATTCTCCAACCGACTCATCTGGGCACTATTTTCCAGTTGTTTTGAAATGCTGTTCATCTTTTTGATGACTGCCCTCAATTCTCTGTGTTATGTGATTTTGGTCCATATCAAATGTGAGTAACTATATATCGTGTTGTGTATGTATGCACGTATGTAGGTATGTATAACATTATGCACAAATGTTGAGATAACCATACTGACTACTATAATATTTACTCATGTGTATACAGTTATATATATCATAATATTATTTGAATGAATAGCATAGAAATTAAGAAAGAAATTGAATGAACATCCATTGATTTTACCTGTTGAAATTCATTAATCTTACTTGATTGAATGTCAATAGTTGAGATCATGAGTCAATTGAAGCTAGACCACCATTGAAAACCTTGAATGTATTAAAAAAACTAAACAGACTTATACTTCTAGTTCATTATCAATTTTATTTAAGGTATGATTTAGTGAATTAAGAATAAAAATTCGAATAAAGTGGTCAAAATTAAAAGATGATGGAAAAGATTTGTAGCTCACGTGGATGATTTTGGTGGAGTTTTGTTCTCTGAGCTGGGTGGTTTGGTCGTTGAGCTTTCAGCGTTCTTCTGAACGACATCATCAAGCGAGCTTTTAGAATCCGTGCTGAGATTTCGTCAGACACCAACCCATTAGGGCTGATCAAACGTACAAGATAAGTTAAGTTGTCAACGCGTTCGACTACTTCATTCCTTATCAGCTGATGATGTCGTTCAGAAGAACGATGAAAGCTCCACAACCAAACCATCCAGCTCAGAGAACAAAACTCCACCAAACGTCAATAGTAAAAATTTCTTTCATCGAATTTGTATTATCTAGATTGAGAATTTCCTCAAATATCAACAAAAAAAACTATTGGTCTAATGCAAATTTGATCGACAGGATTCATTTAGTTTTCCGGATTAGATAATAAAACTTGGTTGTTTCTAATTTATCAATTAGTTCAATCTCATTGTCATTTACTTACTGAATAGCACAATGGTAACATGTGCTCACTAGTGACTAGCTTCGTGAGGGAATTCTCGGAGTTCTAGTGAGAATTCGTGACCAGTGGAGCTAATCCGTGTCGGGTAGAGACAGGTATCTACCTCAGTACAATGGAAGGTGGTCGCGCAATTTCGTGGATTGGTTGATGTTAGACAATAACACCATTGGATGCCGGCTCAGCGGTCTAATGGTTAAGTGCTCAGGCGCGAAGCCATTAGGTCCTGGGTTCTAATTCCGCGGGGTGCGGGATCGTGGATGCGCACTGCTAAGGAGTCCCATACTAGGACGAAACGTCCGTCCAGTGCTTCCAGGTTTCCAACGGTGGTCTAACATCAATTAATTCATGATCTCAACCAAAAACTTAACAATCTCCACAACCCCCATACTGACAATGGTAACTACTGTGATTTTATGATAACATATAACCTAAGTTTAAATTCTTATAAAGAAATCACTCTATTCAAGAGCATATAAATATTGTTAAAGATGATCAGCTTTCATGAAATTTATTTCAACAATTTAATGTCAACTTCTTTCAATTAATCAATATTATGTAATATTATTATTAGCATAATATACTTTAGATCATTTGATCATAATAATGGATCATGATTTTGAATATTTTATTAAAATAAATTTTACCAGGTATCGGTTCTTCTGGTAGCACTAAGCAACAATGCTAGAATGTTTGGAATGTGGTTCTCTCCCTCTAAATGCAAGTTGTTGCTTCAGGACTGGTCTGCGTCAACATCTATACTAAGGATAGGGAGTGAAGTAGTCGAACTTGTTGATAACTTCACTTATCTTGGAAGTCTGATCAGCCTTAATGGGTTGGTGTCTGACGAAATCTCAGCACGGATTCGAAAAGCTCGCTTGACTTATGCCAAACTACGTCACCTATGGCGAAGGCGAGATATCCGTCTATCAATAAAACGACGAGTATACTGCGCGACGGCAGCGAAACTTGGCTATTAAGAGTAGAGGATACTCGTAAGCTATTAGTATTTGACCACAGACGCTTCAGAAATATTGCTTGCATGTGCTGGGACCATCGGGTAAGTAATAGTGAAATCAGACGCAGGGTATTGGGGAATGATGGTGGTAAATCAGTTGATGAGGTTGTGAATCTTCATCGACTGAGATGGTTGGACCATGTGTTACATAATCCTGAACACCGATTACCACGACGTGCAATGCTAACTGGTGTTGAGAATGGTTGGAGGAAAGTTAGGAGCAGCCAAACCAAAACCTGGTATCAGTGCTTGAAGACACTAACTTCTAGTCTGTACCATGTTCGTAGATGCAGACTACATGGTAAGGGTCCGCGTGACTATCGTAACCAATGGTTAGAGACTCTTGGTGACGTGGCTCCGAATCGATCACAATGCTGTAGGTGTATACACTCTCTGTCATCTCTTAAACTAAGAGATTGAAATCACTTCATACCTTTGTTTCTTCCTGCACTCTATCCTTATATACAATGTTTCTTTTATATATTACCACTATTGACTTAACCACTCCTATGTATCCGGTGTTCATCTTACTGTGCTAATGCAGTATAGCAACTTGGACTGATGCATATATGTGACTGGTGCTATGTTGTAACTGACTGACTGACTGACCAGGTATCGGTTTAATGTACATACAAACTATCTAAGATCATTCTCAATTTTCATAAGATCATTTCTAAACAACATTATATTTATATATACAAGTTTATATCTTAATATTATGATTAATTTATCATTTTGAAATGAATTCGATTGAAGATTCAATGTTTATCAAATGGATAACCTTATTATTTCACTAAGTTTATGTGTTCACATATACTAATAGATTTTTATAATTAGTGAGTATACTAAGGCTAAAGTAAAACATTAAATTCAAGTTTAACATTAAAACAATTAATTCTCAGCTAGTGAATGAATATGTGCCTCATCTAATTGATTCCCTTAATGATTGTGAATAAAGTTAAAATAAAAATTGAAGCAGAATAATATGAATTCATTGGATTTTGTGATATTTTATAAAAGTTGCTTACAACCATTGATATGTAGTAATGTGTAATATTGAAGTATAATATAATGTGAAATATATGTGAAGAAGAGTAGATGATTTCATTTCCGTGCACGTCTCAAAGAATTTCAAACTGAGAGATATAACAGCTTGAATTAATGCAGTGGCTTGATATGTAATTGATACCGGGTATACCGCTGACATTTCTCAATCCTTTAAAATTATCGGCAGACAAAACACTCCGAATCTTTCCGGTTAATCGAAGCAGTAACAACGAACAAACTTAAACCTGATTTATACATCTAGAAAGAGACAGTAATCAACTTTTTATTAATTTGGTTAACTCACTTCCTTGACTAATTTCACCTGGAACTACTAATTCTACATTTATTATTATTACTGTAGTGCTTATTCTGTCATATGGTCGTCAGGCAAACTAATTGTTTTCCTCATATCAAATTTATTCTATCATCCATAGGGTTTATTTTATTCACTCAGTTCTCTAAAACTAGGTGAACTCTTCAAATCTTGTTTATTTATTGAGTAACTTATCATATCGATTTCTAAGTCTGGACAATTACCAACTCGTAACTAAACTTTTTTTGTACCTATTTTCAATTGATCTGAAACTTATGCTAACTGTTCACAACTTATCATAGGACCAAACTTATCTCTTTCCGAACTTTATTTAATTAATGCCTCCTTCTTGTTGTTTTGATGATGGCTGTAACAGTTCTTCAAGTTTTAGCTCCGTACAGTAGGACTGTCTTGACGTTTGTATTGAAGATTGTGACTTGGATGTTGACTGAGAGTTATTTTGATTTCCATATATTTTTCAACTGTAAGAATTATGCACTTGCCAATTCTAGCCTTTACATCTGCACCAGATCCTGCTTGTTCATCGATGATGCTGTCCAGGAACGTGAAAAATCCCACAACCTACAGAGTTTCTCCCTCACATGTGATTGGGTTGATGCTTATTACTACCGAGGTATTTTCAGTCAAAGAAAAACCTCAAACGACGCAGAACGACATAACCGAGTTATGTCATACACTCACGCGTTGTCTCAATCTTCGTACCTACCGTAGTCGCTCGCGCACTCCACGTAGAAGCATTTCTCGTAAGCGATCTGTCTGTAGACCACGAGAGACAGATAACCCCGACTGGTGCTGGAAAGTCTTTTAGAAATTGCAGAAAACCCTGCAATTTTCCCAACACGAAACCGAGTGACTCGAAAAACAACTCGGGAAACTTCCAAGCCGGCACGCGTTAACGGCAACCGTAGCCGGCGAACATATTGTATTGTATTCTTTAGTCTTCCTCTTT